TCATAACAATAGCAACATTACAGTTATGAAGTAGCAACGAAAATAATTTTATGGTTGGGTCACAACATGAGGAACTATATTTAAAGGCCCAGAAGGTTGAGAACCACTGCTCTAGCTCCTTTTTAAAAAATGGAAAATTTTAAACATATACAAAAGTAAAGGCCCTCTGTGTCCCATCCACTCAACTTCAATAATTATCAACTTATGCTCTACCCCCTATAGCATTTTGAAGCAAATTCCAACCTGTAAATACTTCAATATGCATCTCCAAAAGATACAGATTCTTTGTTTTTTAATATAACCACAAAACTATTACATCTAAGAAATTGACAACGATCTTATATCACTATATATTCAGAGTTCCAATCCCAATTGTGTCATAAATGTCATAGTTTAATTTAATCTTCGTGTTTGAATCAGATTCCAAATGAAGCCTCCACTTTGCAGTTGTTCAGCATTTCTGAGTAAGAATTAATATAACAGTGATTTTCTCCTGAGTCTTGAGGTAAAATGGAGGATTTGTGACGATGTCCCCATTCATCTTTGGGCTTCATGACTCTACATCCTCTCCCCCCAAAGTCACAGTAGGGCTGAGGACCCAAAGCAGCAGCTGGAACATTTGGTCAAAGACACTCATACCATTGGGAGACGTTTTGTGAGGACTGACGTGTGGGAACCCAAGTTATACAGAGAAAACAATCAAGAGAAAGATAGAATCACACAGAGATAACCATTGCACTTAGTCCTGCACATTCACTTCCGGTACATGCTCTCTCTCTCTCTACTTTGTAACATGATTGAGGACACACAGTATATACAACCTTTACATTCAGCATTTTGACAATTCAATGTTTAGAACTAGCATTTTTCCTATACTACAAAGCTTTCATAAACATTTTCAGAGTCTCTAATTTCACATACGGACCACATTATATGATTTCTAAAAAAGGAATCAGGCAGAAGGATCAGGGTCCATGTTACAGGAGCGCCCTGACCACCAAGGCTGTGCCAGCTCCACATGTGTTGTTCTGTCAAGAGCACAATGGTGGGGCCATTCCTCAAGTTCTCAATTGGCCCCCATTTTCAGAGCCAGTTTTTTGGCTCTTGTGAAAGTTCTCAGGACAAGTCAGTGGTGGAAGGAGAGGAAAGATGGTGACACTTCCTGGATGGGAAGCAGAAGTGACCTCCCCCAGCTATGCGGTAGCCCTGCCGGGTCCCTTGCACCTTTAGGCTGAGTTGTGCCTTAACATTTTTACTTACTTTCATTTGTAGAAGTCTTAAACTATTTTATACCAAGGCTGCTCCTGAAGAAATTCTATTATGTGTCTAAGACAATTACAAAAAATCCCTATAATACAATGTTTTAGTCTCATAAAAAAACCAACAATGCTGGCTTATAGGAATTGTTCCATTTCAACTGTGGAAATGCTTCCATTTTTTAGGGTCAATAAAATGACTGTCTTTTATTTCATGTTAAATCATGTAAATTATGCCTCCTTCCTTGCTAGGAAACAGGTTTCAGCCTCTTGGCTGTGATGCTTCTGCCTTTGGAGCTTCTCAGTTGCTTCCTGTTGCTTTTATGTTTTCTCCTATTTTTCTCTCAGCCCTGCAGACCTGTAAATTCTAATTGCTGTGTCCACACAGGGGCTGCAAAGCCATCTTGGCTGCACTCAGGCTTTTCTCACCCCCTCGTTAAGTCCTCTGTCTCCATCATCTTAAGCTGTTCCAACTGGGTCGATCCATTCTCTGCCCTTCTGTTAACTGCCCGTCATTAAGAACTCCTCCTGAACCAAGATCGTTCGCAGAGCATATGGAAACGCCAAGTGTCTGTTTCCTTTCACAGGCAGAGCCTGGGGAAAGGTCTTAATTTCAGCTCATGATAGAGTCAACATCCACACAAACTCCCATACTTTCTGAGGGTTCCAAGAGCAGATGCCAGGTGTGTTCAGTAGCGAACCAGAGGCCATACTTGCCCCACTTTGTTCTGTTCTTCCTGTCTGCCTGCCAGCTAGAACAAAGCAGGCAGCTGGAATTACCCAGATCAAGAAGATTCAGCTATCCAGCCATCGTCCGTGCTTCCCCGGCCCAGGATGGCCCTTGTCGGGCGCACTTTTAGAGAGGGCTGCTGGGAGAGGCGATGGACTTGACCGCTGTCACTCAACATTTGAGGCAGAGTTTCCTGGCACCACTAGTTCAAGATTCAATATCACTATTTGTCACAAGCATTAGTCATTTCTAAATAAAATGACTTTCCCTTCTACATTAAAATAATACTAACATTTTGGTTTCGGTTATTTAAAGTTTCCTTTGAAAAATGCAAATTTCCAACCAGAGTGTTTGGCTTTAGTAAGATACCTTGTCATGAAGCACCACCTGGACAGCCACATGCTGTAACTATCCTCTGATTCAGAGGCCAACCCGCTTGGCATGGACCAGGGCCCGCTCTGCTGCCGGCCGAGCCAGCCAGGGGTCACAGACTCACATCAGGGAGTCACTCGGAGAGCAAGTAACTGCTAATTTCATTGTAGAATTCAGTTTCAGTTGTTTCATTTTTCTGCTTATTCTCTTTGAATTTTCAAGACAGCATCGATTGTTCTATTTCTACCACACTTTTCTTCTACATGAAATGTTTTAAAGATAACAATGCTGATCCAACACTAAACAGATGCTAGTTTGAAAGTCTGCTTTTTCCATTGGGAAACAGTAAGTTAACTTAAAGAGCATGCTCTACCTTCCAGAGCAATGCACTTTGTCTCCAAATCCACCTAAAGTTCACTAGTAAGCACATTAGAATAGCGAGGGCCAGACACCCACTCATTCCCTCCACCATGGTCTGTTTGCAGGATGTTCTGGTGGCAATGCTTGGAATTGGCCCTGATTTTCACTTTAGAACTGAGAGACCATTACTGACCGCTGGTTGGCAAGGACAGGGCAGACTTCAGAAAACAGGAGACCTGGATGGGGATTGCAGGTTTTTGCCGTCAGCACTTGGAAGCTATACCTTGACTGTTACTTCATTTGTTCAGCCTCAAAAGGCAAACCACTTTGTGGACGTGTGAGACTGACGGAGAGATTTATAATGAGACAGAGCTGTTTTCATCTCTAAACACAGCATTTCTTCTCTGAATCACACCAAGCCAAATTGAAGGACATCAAAAGCTCCCCACAAAGGAAGCACTGTGGGTGCTAATTTTATGGACTGTGAGAAGCCAGAGGTATGTGAATTTTTATTATTAGGGGGCCAACATGCTATTTTTACCAGATTTTCCTGTCTCACTATCCTGTCATCAGTTGTTATCTTAGGAAGAATCAGTAAGATCTACAGAGCTTTCATTTCCATGGGGAGACAGGGAAAACAAAATTATGAGGGACACAGAGACCAAAGAATTTGACCTCACTGTTCAAAACAGCCTCAACAATTCCCTGTTTCAGCAAAAAACCTTCTTCTGAGGTTTTTCTTTCTGTAGACCATGGAGGGTGTTTGCATCCCATAAACTCCAATGACAGACTTCAGGTCATAAAAGGGAAAAGGAAAATCATTAGATTCAAGTGTGAATGAAGTTCTGTTTCTTTATGTGGTTGCTCCTCTATCCAGTTTACAGAGTATTGGAAAAAAGGAGGCTGAGTGTTAGAGCTGGGAAGGAGCTCAGAAATGATGGACTTTACCAACTGTGTCTTATGTTAGGCAACCGAGCCCCAGGAAGAAAGGACAGTCCCTGAGGTAGTGGAAGATGCAAATAAGAGGAGGGGTCAGCCATGCCCCCACAATGCTGCTCTTCGTGTCCACCCTACTCTACTCAGAAGGTTGAGCATCTTTTCCGTCATCAGATTCCAAAGTGGGAAGGATAGCTTCCTCTTGCATACCCATTCAACACCCAACCAATGAATCAACTGTTTATATTACAAACACCTTTGCCCTGGAGTACAAAATACTGGGGCGGTAACTTCATAGAGCAGACAAATTGGCAATCTAGACTAGATTGCAACTGAAATCGAGTACTGAGTGAATAGGAGGTACCTGCTACATTCCAGGCAAGTATGGAGGCAGTTTTAACATCCCAAATTTTCATGCCCAAGGATAGTACAAAGGGGCTGAGTGGACCCTGGTCTATGCTCCTGTGACCCAGATGGCGCGAAGACAGTGTTCTCCAAACCATAGCTGCCTGGCAGGGCTCTCACATACCCAGGTGTTCCTGGGCTCTCCTTCATTCTGCAGGCATCACAAATCTGAGGTTGGGGTCAGGATTTTGAATTTTGACAAAGCCATCTCTTCCTCAGCCTGATGAGTAAGATGACCAGCAGGGTTGGGGACATGACTGTTAATAAATGGAACATCCTGCTCTTCAGGACAGTCCAGGACACGGGCCCTTGCCGACGGGCACTATCTTTACTCCATCCCTAGTAATCGAGTTGTATTGATGTTATTTTTAACTGCTATGAGAACTAGGATATTTAATAAACTGGCAGTGGGAAGCCTGGTGAATAGGTTCTTCTGGAGGAAGGCAGACACCTTCATTCCTTGTTACTGGTTAATTAGACAAGTCTACTCAGGTGGCCCAGTACCCTGGTTCAGTGCAGCCCTTTTGGTTTTTAAGACTGCGCTCTGGGCCAGCTCCTGTACTCATACCCAGAGACTGAGCTTCTGGGAGTGTAAAGTCATGCAAGCTTAGCCTCCTTCCCAAAGAAAGACTATCCCAGAA